AGCCCCCCGGCGGCCGCGCGCCCCCGCTGCCCCGCACGGGCAGGACGCACCGAATCGGACTTGCTTCTGGAGACCTCCTAGCGCCTTCTCGCGGGTCGGCCGGCTAGATAATCATCGCCCTGACGGACTGCACACGTCTTGCTTGCACGTCTAAGCAGAAACGCGAGGGCCAGGTCAGTAAGTCCTAACTCTGGTTCGCCTCCTGGGAACGAGAGCACCCTCCGGAGAAGCGCTCGGGTCCTGCGGAGAGGGCAGGGGGTCGGGGAGGTCCTCGCGAGCGCAGGAGCTTTCCCCCCTCACTCAGGTCAGAGGCGACGCCGTCCCCACTCGCTACCTGCTGAGGAGGTTTGACCGGTTCCTTGACCCTTCCTCCCAGAACAGCAGGTGGTTACTGCGCCTCTTTTAAAATAACGCCCTGCCCAAAGGGGAAGGTCATATTGGAGTCTCCCAAGCTGTTCAAGAATAAACACATTTATTTAAGCAGTCACTGGTTTTCCACCAGAGGGGTTCACCCACTGGTAGGAGCATGCGGTGGACCAGAAAGAGGCAAAAGTAAAAGCCTTAGGACTATTTTTTTTTTTTTTTTCAACAGGGACACGTTATTTAAACTCAGTAACTTGAAACAGACAATGCTGTTTTCAAAGAAAAGCCAGAAACTCAAATAAGCAGAAGAGAGACATTCAAACCCTTTGGTAAATGTTTTCAACTGCCTGCTTATTAGGCAAACAGCCGTGTCTTGTAGATAGCATTCTTGGATGTCCCCTCCTCTCTCTCCCAGGACAAACAAGTGTAAGGCACGTGACATGGTTTCTGGGATTTTTCTTTGGGAAAAATTCCTGCAACGTTTTGTGATTGATAAGATGTTAAGTTTTACCACGGCCAACCTGTGACAATAAGAATCCCACTGTAAAAAGTTCCACAAATTTAAATATATAGTCAAAACATAAACTAGTTTCCCACTGAGATAATTTAAAGTTCGTTGAACCTCTGAAACACAAACAAACTTGAGGCCATTTCCCTCTTCTGCAAAGGAATATTTCTGTAACAGAATCTCTCAAGAGTTACTTATTCAAGAAAACTGTACCATTCACAGTTTTCCTTAAATGCCTTGAACAATGTGAACACCTCATTCTGTCTTATTTCAAAGCAAAGGCTTTCCCCTCGTCTACTTCTGATTTTTGTGCTGTTGAGGTTTTAATCCGGCAGCCCTCCCTATGTACTCTCTTTTCCTCTTCCATGTTTCCAGAAGTGTACTCATAAAATAATACACTCTCTGGGTAAGCTCTGGCCTGGATGGAGGCCAGCAGTGTGCCTGAGAACAGCTCATTAGGTCCCATATGCTAATAGCTTGTAGATCAATAACTATTCCTGCAGAGAAACTTTAAATAAAGGGGCTTTGAGATAAAGAAAATGGGACTATAAAGAAAAAGAAGTTAATGAGGATAGTCCTAATATCCTTCTACATCAGGCACACTCTCGGTTTAGTTTGCTGCAGGCCTCTAACTCAGACCTCTTGGAGTCTTGCTAATTCTGTTAATGAATTGTCAGGGCCGACTAACTGGGCTCTGTGAAGTCTCGCTCTTGATCTAGGGAAAATGGTCCAGCCTATCAAATATACACTCCAAGATTTAAATGGTTAGTTTCTACTTTCTCTGATTACTGAAGAGGGGAGGCAAATGCAAATGAAGACCTGGGCTTCTTGGAACATTCTATCTGAAATTTATACAGAGAGAACTTGAGTATATTAGTAAAGCAAATGTGTGAGTACATAGAAAGCTCTCCCTGCAACGAGGCTTCTGTGTGTGTGTGTGTGTGTGTGTGTGTGTGTGTGTGTGTGTGTGTGAAGTCCTTGAGATAGAAAGTTTCCTTATAGGTATACTGACTGAAAAATTTTAATGTTCTAGTCAGGGATTGATTTAAGAGGGATTGTGGGATCTTGGGACAGCTTTCTTACAGAAGTGATTACCTAAGAACAAGAAAATAATCACAAGGATGGCATGTCAGAGCAAGGAATTCTGTACAGGCAATTATATTCAGTAAAGGAAAGGATCAAGTTACTTGGTAGTTTGCTGATCTCAATTATTCAGTAAAATTGCCTTTTCCTTTGGCTTCATATTTCTTTTTCCAAATTACTGAACACCTTTAATGTGTACCTAAAGATCCAGTTTCTGTCCTCACAGAGATTGTTGTGTGGACTGGTGGAAAGAAAACAATTGCAACGACTAGAAATGAGCACAGGTTGGGGTAACCGAGAGGTTTCCCACTTCTGGGCAGAGGGCAGAGAGACAAGAGGAAGGCTGATGTGTTGCTGGAACTGGGAGTAGTTTAATATGACAGAAGCATAAGTATATGCTGGGATTGCAGGAGAGATGAAGCCAGAGAGGCAGGCAGGGATGAGTCCAAGAAAAGCTTTGAATGTCAAACAATGGAGTTGGAATTTTCTTCATATGCCAGTGTTATCAACCTGTGGGCACAGAACCTTTAGTGGGAGAGCACATCAATGAAAGCAGCAGATCTTGCAAAACAGAAGCTATTCAAGAAATAAAAGAGAAGGAATTACATGCAGAGAATTGGTTATACAAGTGATGAAAGCCAAGCAGGGGACGCTGAGGCCACCCAGGAGTTAGCTAGAGCAAGGAGTCATTATTATCTCCAGCTAGAAGGACATGGAGATGAGGTAGTGTGACTGAACCCCAGGGACCAGGGCCGTCACTGGAAGCAGAATCACTAAGGCCAGCTCTGTAGGAACCGAAACCGTGGATGGGCTGCTGAGGTTCTGCTCAGAGAGAGGGAGGGAGAAGAATACAGTAGCTTCTGCCTTCCTCCTGCCCTCTACCTACCTGCCAGTGCTTCCCATTGGCCAAACCTGGCCAGCATTCTGATGAATCACAGCCCTGAAAATACAGCCTGCAAGAGTCAGCCCTCCAGGGGAAGGGTGAGGAATGGAGCTGGGGGCATAGGCCCAGCCAGGCATGGCCGGTGGGGTGAAAAACTATGACTCACCAATGTAGGTAGATACTATTATGATTAATAAACAAATTCATTTAAAAGAGGTAAGATCTTAATTAGTGATGGAAGTCTTTTTTTTTTCATTATGAATATATTCAACAGGTACTACTACTATGATGTTAGGCTCTGGGTGTTTTTATAGATTTGAAAAGGGAACTATATGTTAAAAACCAATATATTATATTATTTTAAACAATCTGGGGACACTAGAGAAATAATATGATTACATTTGCATTTCAGAAATGCCTTTTTACTGTTCAGTAAAATGTAAGAGCCTAGAGTAGAGGCTTTTCCCCCAGGACAAATTCTAGTTCCTGACATAACTTTTTAAATGCTTGCTGAATGCAAGGACGGAGCTGTGCCTGGCATTTAGAAGTTGCTCAATTATATTTGTTAAGTGAATGAATGAATGAGGAAGGAAGGAAGCAGGAGAAGAGGAAGGAGAAGGAAGCAGGAGATAAGTTAAAAGACTTAGAGTAATTATGGTAAGAGATCAAGGGCAAAACTAATGTGGTAGAAATGATAAAAGGACCACTGGGAGAGATATGTTAGAGATCAGTCTGAGGGTTTCCTTAAATGTGGGAGCTAAAGGAGATGAAAAAGCCTAGAATGGTTACCTGCTTTTGAAGTTTACTTGGCTTAATGGATGGAGAGAACATTGACCAAAGTAGGACATGTAGAAGAAAAAGTCTGGGGTTGAGAGGCTGCAATTGGGGAAGAAAAGTGTTAAAAACTTAATATTTAGGTTAGAGAGAGACGTAGTTCAGATCTGGATGTATTTTTTGCATAGTTCCTGTGTAGGATTCTGCTGTATGTCAGGTATAAAGTTTATTTTAGAGCATCCCAAAAAACACACAACCCCCCATAAAAAACACACCACACACAAACACCACACAACTTTTGCACAAGCTACTCATTTTTAACACCAGCCCCTACACTAGGAACAATGACTATGAAACAGAGTCTGCTCAGTTTATCCTAAATATTTTATACTCCCAAAGTTCACGCACCAAGTCAAAGGTTTCAATATTTGTCTCTTCTCTGTGCATTTTGTTGCTATATTTATAAATTTAGAACAGTCAAGATATTGAAAGAAACTTTCTTTTTCTAACTTAAAATTAATTTGATGTATTTATGGAAGTTATAAAATTAATTGATAAAGTTTCTAATATTCATTTCACATAAAATGGATTGAGTCAGTTTGGTGACAGGAATTACATTTATACTATAGGTCATACATTTTACCATTGTAACATGCATGTCAAAGACCTGATTTAATTCACCCATATTTAGACTTATACATGGTATAGACACATTAAAGGGCCTACTTTATTAAAAGGGTGTACTATGCACAATTTGAGGTCTCAGAGGACGGGTATTTTGAGCCCCCACCAAAATGAAACCAATCCTTTTGTGATGTTCCTTTGACTCACCTTTGAGGTTTCCTTGTTTTATAGTTGTTCTTTTCCTTTTTAAATTTTTTTTAAAAATTCTAGATTCTTGTACTAGTTGCTGAAAATGGGCCCAATAGATGCAGAGGCTGATGAGAACCAGACAATGGAAGAAATGAAGGTGGAGCAGTATGGTCCCGGGCAAACCACTCCTAGAGGTGAGCTGGCCTCTGACCCTAAGCCAGAGCTCATAGACAGCACCAAGATGATCGAGGTACAGATTGTCCTTATCTTGGCCTATTGCTCCATCATCTTGCTTGGGGTGATTGGCAACTCCTTGGTGATCCATGTGGTGATCAAATTCAAGAGCATGCACACAGTAACCAACTTTTTCATTGCCAATCTGGCTGTGGCGGATCTTCTGGTGAACACACTGTGCTTGCCATTCACTCTTACCTACACCTTAATGGGGGAGTGGAAAATGGGTCCTGTCCTATGCCACCTGGTACCCTATGCCCAGGGCCTGGCAGTACAAGTGTCCACAATCACCTTGATGGTAATTGCCCTGAATCGGCATCGTTGCATCGTCTATCACCTGGAGAGCAAGATCTCCAAGCGAATCAGCTTCCTGATTATTGGCTTGGCCTGGGGCATCAGCGCCCTGCTGGCAAGCCCCCTGGCCATCTTCCGTGAGTATTCACTGATTGAGATTATTCCTGACTTTGCCATTGTGGCCTGCACCGAGAAGTGGCCTGGTGAGAAGAGCATGTACGGCACTGTCTACAGTCTCTCCTCATTGTTGATCCTGTATGTGCTGCCTCTGGGCATCATATCTTTTTCCTACACTCGTATCTGGAGTAAACTTAAGAACCATGTCAGCCCTGGAGCTGCTAATGACCACTACCATCAGCGAAGGCAAAAGACCACCAAAATGCTGGTGTGCGTGGTGGTGGTGTTTGCGGTCAGCTGGTTGCCCCTTCATGCCTTCCAACTTGCTGTGGACATTGACAACCAAGTCCTGAACCTGAGGGAGTACAAGCTCGTCTTCACCGTGCTCCACATCATCGCCATGTGCTCCACCTTCGCCAACCCCTTTCTCTACGGCTGGATGAACAGCAACTACCGAAAGGCTTTCCTCTCTGCCTTCCGCTGTGAGCCGAGGTTGGACACCGTTCACTCTGAAGTGTTAGTGTCATTCAAGGCTAAAAAAAGCGTGCAAGTTAAAAGGAACCATGGCCCCAATGGCTCTTTCACAGAGGCTACCAACGTCTAAGGAAGCTCTGGTGTGAAAATACATGGATGAGTTCTCACCAGAGCTATGAATCTGGCTGGGGAGGGCTCCCAGAAGCATCCTGGTTTCCCATCAGGATGGGGAAAGAGCATCAGAATGGAAGACCTGTGGGTCACTCATGGAAGCCTTACTGGCAGAGCGGAGGTCAAAACACACCCATTCGGAGGTCAGGCAGCAAAACAGTCCTCGTACAGTTGCTTGGCTGGTAGGTTGAATTACCAGTAAAAGCAGAGAGAAATGCTTGTGATTGTTTCCCAGAGTGAAGGAAACATGAACAGGGAACTGGCGTTATCCGCGTCACTAAAAGGTGGTGGCTAAATAAGTTGCCTTTCAAATCCCATTGGGGAGTAGATTGGGGATGATGTATAATTAACTGCTCTGGATCTGATGAAAAGATGATCACACACCAATTTCCCTAGGGAGCCACAGGCTCCCCTTTATTGTATCTTGCTTTTTTATGAATTTTCCTATAGATTAAGTCCACCAGGAAATGCTGCAATTAAATGTTACAACCTGTTTGCATGACTTCAAGGAAGTAAACTGAAACTTGCCATATAATTGGTATTTTGGCAAATGATGGAGGACATTTTTAATGTTCAGTTTGCTGGTTATTATTATTATTTTTTAATTCTCACCTGAGAATATTTTTTTCATTGCTTTTCCGAGAGAATGGAAGGGAAGGGAGAGAGAAACATGGATGTGAGAGACACACATCGATTGGTTGCCTCCTACATGCGCCCCAGCCGGGGCTGGGGATGGAGCGTGCAACCGAGGTATGTGCCCTTGACAGGAATCGAACCCAGGACCCTTTAGTCCACAGGCCAACGCTCTAACCACTGAGACACACTGGCTAAGGCTTGCTGATTATTCTTAAAACTAAATGCATGTTTAGTGAACACATTGTTTCAACTCAGAATTGCATGTTGAAATTCTGAGAATTATAGAAATATAAACCATCATTTAACTTCTCACTTAAGTTATCCCTGCTTTCTATAGTATATAGATACTATTTAGATAACAAATAAGCATATAATGTAATACATTTAATCATTTAATTAATATTAATTATTATACCTCTTGAACATGTATTATTCCTATGTTGAAACTGAGTTTATCTTCACTAGAAATTAAACCAATTAGAAAATAATTTTGTGGCATTGTTTTAACATTTTGTGGTTATTTGTAAGCAATTTATGCACAGGTACATAGCTCTAATGTGTTTGCATTACACTGTAGTGTTATTTTATTGAAATTCATCTTCAGTGGATTCATTCATGATTAATAAGACAGTATGATTTTATCAAAATAGAACCCATCTGGTAAGGAAGCTTAAAAACATTGGATTTGTTCCACTTCACAAATGTTCTGTTTAGACCGATTTCAACATAAATTATACTCTTCTCAAAATTATTAGCTAAACTCTTTGGATACCATGAGTATATACATAATAAAACTATACCTACAAATAGTGGAACATAGATACTATGTTATTTTTCATTTAATGATATTATGAATATAATTTTTTATTTTAATAGCGCCCAACCAAAGATGCTTAAAACCTTATTATGTTCATGACAAATAATTGAGATGTTAAAATAATTATAATTCTTTGCATGCTGTTAAAGAAGTTTCATTGCAGTAACATTTTTGTAAATACAGCCCTTAAAGTCATAAATACAACTCTTAAATTTTAAATAAATTCCATATGAGTAGTACTACATTTAGTTACAAACATTAACTTTTTGAACTGTAGAGTTTTATTTTATGGATATATTTAAAATTCATAGTGTGGCTCTTACTGACTTACTTCCTTGCTAGAAATGAAAGACTGGACTTGAAGCGGACAGCACTTTTGGAATAAAGAAAAAGAACGAAAAAAATAATTTAGATTGGGTGGAAGACTGATTAAGAAGTAAACAAAAAGTATTGTATAGCTGTAATATATCATATAATTAAAGATTTCATTTTTCTCTTGGACTTGATGTAAATGTCCCAAGATAAGTTTTTTGTCCTTTAAATAGCAGTTACTTTGAGTAATATATCTATAGAAAATTGTGGTTAAAAGTTTTTTGAATTCTTACACTGTAGGAAATGTGTATGCTACTGTATTACCAGTTGTAGTAGTAAATTATTAGAATTTAATTAATGATCCAATTAATATATATGATCTAACTGATTCTATTAACTCAATAAAATATCTTTTTACATAATGCTGTCATCTGCTGAAATAAAAAGAATTTGGGAAACTAGAGAAATTGAGTGATACTTTATATCCGTTCCTATTCAAGACGAGATAGTAAACCTTTCGCACAATTAAAAACAGGAAACCAATGGTGGCTCCTCGACAGTTGGCCTAGCTCTCTTTCCATTCTGCACATGAGCCTGAGTGAGTGGATTCACTCCCGTGTCTAACAACGCCTGCGACTTTATTTGCAGACCAGACCTTCCACCTGAGCTTGTATTTCTATCAGCCGACTTGACATGTCCACACAGGTGTCTCGCCAGCGGGTCAAAAGCAGCACATCTCAAACAGAGCCTGCCACCGTCCTGCACACCCATATTTCCTGCCCCAGGCCTGTCACTGACATCTACTCAGCTCCCCAAAGCCTTACACTTTAGAGTTACCCTTGACTTTCTGTCCCTTTATCACACATGTCCAGTTAACTCCCACATGTCCTTCTCATTCCTAGATGTCTCTTGAATCAATTCACTTTTCTCCATCCCTATGGTCCCTACCACAGTTCAGGCTCTGAGTGTCTCCCCAGGCCCCTGTTATCTTTCACCTGGTTTCATGTAGCAGCTTTCTAATTGGTCTATCTATATCTTGTCATCTTCCCCCCAATCCAACTTTTACCCACTAGTCAGAATGATTTTTCAAAAACTCAAATTGCGTCCTTGCCATCAGATCATTCTGGCAATCTTAAGAACTGCCCAAATAATAATTTCTAGTCTCAACCTCATCCTCTCCTCTAAGTACCTCTTTGGGTTTTTCAAAATTGCACTGATGTAGGTAGGTTCTATTTCCTTTTCTTTTTCTATTATGAAGGCCAATGTGTTAAAGGTATTCTTTAAAACTGCCCCATTAGTCCAGGTGACCTATGGAGTCAAGGATAAGCACAGACCTCCCCCCCCCCCCC